CAGGGAAAGACTAGGGAATGGGAGTTATTATGAGAATAAAGAGCAAGTGCAATAGGAGACATGAAAAGATAAAAACTGTAAGCAGAGAAAGTATTTCAGAGTCCAGGGCCTTAGAAGTAAAGCAATTCCAAATGTTTCCTTATTGGGCCCTGAAGTGTGGCCATGCTTGGGAATAACTTAAGTGGAGTGCAGCTGGACATCACTATTGTTGGAAAGATGAAGAAACTGTGATGTCAGAGAATTAGGATAGTCCCTGGAGAAAGAAAAGGTCACTTTCATTCAATAGAGTAAACCCATTTTTCAACCTAGTGCTTGGTATATAGTAGCCAATCAACTAACATTTTTTGGGTGAATGGATCAATGAATGAGTGAATGAATATTATAGCACTTATCATAATTGATGATTTTCCTGTTTTCTTCCCCTACTGGACCATAAGCTCCTTGGATCTGGCTTATTTCTGTATCTCTAGTCCACAGCATAGAGAACTGCAGGTGCTGGAATCAAAGTTTTAGTGAGTAAATGAATACTGAATTGCAGAGAACCATGACAAGGAGAGAGAGAGAGAGAGAAAAAAAAATTATGAACCAGGTGCTGAAATCCTCAAGGGAGCCGGAAGAATACATTGTGGGTCTATAGATAAGAACTCTGATAGTATTTGAATAGTATAAGCAAATGACATTGACTTCAAAAGAGGAATGATTGATGAGCGAGAGGAATACTGGATTTGGAAGTGGCAATTTCTCTCTTCCTCTCCTGGCACTTCTGAAGAAAAGGGGCACGGTGTGTTTTCTCCTTTGACTCTCCTCCCTTCCCTTGTCACCTAGCCTTCTCAATTTTTTCTGTATTTACTTTGCCTTGCTTCCTGTTGTTCTCATGACTAGAATGCTTCAGTAGTCTTTTTGCCAATTCCTCTGCTTCCAAATTTTCTCTCTGGCCTTACATGCAATAGCAAAAAGTCAGAGTTCCTAATTATAATTTTTCAGCAACATCAGTACTTATACTTCTCCAGGGGTTTCCATTTGATTGTCAAATCAAATGAAAACAGCCGTCTTGAATTTATGATTGTCCACCACCCAGCCCTCTGTAAGCTGTCCTCACTACCAGTTGCTTTGAATTTTCTATTATATACAAAGTGCCCTAGCTTTTCCTAAGCTTCTAATTACCCTTTTCTCTACCCATCTAGAGCCTGCTTCATCAGAACTCCTTGAGGACTCATTTTCCTTTCCTAGCTATAATTAAAACAACTTTCCTGAAACACCTCCCTTCCTTTATCCTTTCCTCTCTCCTAATTACCAAACAGTCATAAACATCATAGGTATATTCTTTTCTCATGTGTCACTCTGTATGACTCTATTAATTTTATCATGGAAGTTTATCTCCCCAATCCATCTCTTCCTGTCTATCCATCCACCTGGATGTTTGCAAAAACCCTGACCAATCTTCAGTGTACCCTACCCTAGAGCTCAAGTATCTTTAAAATGGAAATCTGATCATGCCCCAACGCAAAGGGGTGCACATGCATGCATGCACCTATGTCTACACACACACACACACACACACACACACACACAATATTTGAGACATTTCATACCCTTTAGATAAAAACCCAAACTTATAATACCTACCTGCTCACATTTACTATTAGCTTCATCCTTCACTCCCTGTTCCCTCCCTGCCTGCATGTTTCTGCACATACACTTCTCTGAACCTCATCCCCTGCCATTAACTCCCGCAACCATCCCTATCTCCTACTCCACTAAGTTCACCCAAAGTAGTGCCTACAAACTTCTCCAGTTTTTTTTCTTTTCTTCTTTCTTTCTTTCTTTCTTTCTTTCTTTCTTTCTTTCTTTCTTTCTTTCTTTCTTTCTTTTCAGACAGTTTCTGGGGATGGAACTGAGGGCCTTGTAAATGCTAGGCAAACACTCTACCACTGATCTGCACAACCCCCACCCCCAGCTCTTCTTTGTTTAAAAAAAATTTTTTTTGTTATAGATGGACACAATACTTTTATTTTATTTATTTATTTTATGTGGTGCTGAGGATCAAACCCAGTGCCTCACATGTGCTAGGCAAGTGCTCTACCACTGAGCCACAACCCCACCCCTCCTTTGCTTAAAAAAAAAAATTCACTAGAGAAGTCAGGCAAATTGGCATAGACCTTAGTCCCAGGAAATTGAGAGTTTGAGACAAGAGAATTGCAAGTTCAAGGCTAGTCTCAAAAATTTAGTGAGACCCTGCTCAAAATAAAAATTAAAAGGTCTGGGAATGTAGCTCAGTGGTTAAGCACCCCTGGGTTGAATGCCCAGTACCAAACTTAAAATACATATATTTTAAATTATATACATAATTTTTATATATTTCATATGTATATATATGAAAATAATCACAAATTCACGAGGTTGCAAAGAAATGTACAAGGAAGTCCCATGTACTCTTCCTCCAGCTTCCTCAAATGTTGACATCTTGCAAAATTATAGAATAGCATCAAAATCAAGAAGTTGATCTTGGTCAACCCATAGATTGTATTCAGATTTCACTAGTTGACGTGTGTGTGTGTGTGTGTGTGTTTCTATGTGATATTTTCACATATGTAGCCTGACATAACCTCTACTACAATCAAGATAAAAAACTGTACCATCACCACAAGGCTCTCATGCTGCATCTCATCCATAACCCCTGCTATCCACTAATCTGATCCCCATCTCTATAAGTTACTATTTTACAATATTATGTAAGTGGAATTTTGCAGTGTATATTCTTTTGAGATTGACCTTATTCACCCGGCATAATTACCTTTAAATTCATCCATTTTATTTGTGTATCGATAGTTTGTTTCTTCTGATTGATAAGCAATATTCCTCTGGTATGGATGAACCAGTTTGTTTAACCATTCATCTATTGAAGTACATATGAGTCTTTCCAATTGGGGGCTATTACAAGTAAAGATGCTATGCACATTCGTGTACGAGTTCCTACATGAAAATAAACCTTAACTTCTCTGGAATAAATTGCCCAAGAGTGCAATTGCCGGCTCATATGGCAAGTCTATTTTTAGTTTTGACAGGAACTGCTAAACTATTTTCCAGAGTGGCTATACCATTTTACATTCCCACCAGCAAGACAGTGTGATCTACTTTCTCCACATCCCCACCAGGAATTGTTGTTATCGCTCTGTTTCATTCTAGCCATCTCAAGAGTTGGCTCATTGTAGTACTTCTCATCTTTGTGGACCTAAGTCAAGAGTTACCTCTGCAGAGCCTTTTCTAGCTTTCTCTGGAAAAGTTGAGTACTCTCTCCTCTGTGCCACCTCTGATGCTTCATTTATCCTTTTGTTTTAATTTTTTATTGCCACAGTCTGTGTTTTCCCCTCTATCCTGGGCTACACAAAGGTAGAACCTGTGCCAGATTCATCTTGATTCCTGCAGCATCTGGTACAGTTACATGCTGGGCACATAGTGGATCCTCATTAAGTGAGGGAAAGAATGAATGAAAAGAACCGTAGTCTTGCTTGCCTCCCCCTCTCCCTCCTTGGCTGAAAACCTTTTTAGAACAGACATCACGCCTTCCTCTGTGTCTCCCAGAAGCAGCTAATAGGGTGCTCTGTACGTGTAGATGTTCAATAAATGTCGTCTAAACTATTCAGGTAGCTTATCTTCCCCCTGCACCCAGGAGATAAGCACATGAAAGAGAGAATAAGCCCAAGTATCCTTGTATTAAGGATCATATGTCATAATTTTTATAATATTCTTATAATCTCTACCATCACTCAATATTTGTCTGTGAGGATGAGAAATCAAAACAAAACAGTGCTTTGAGTCAACGACTGCCTCTGTGGCTGAACCCTAGTCAATAGTTTCAATGCCCTGGGTACATATGAATTGGGGAAGACGGCATTTTATATCCCTGAATTCCTTTTGCTGTTTCAGAAGGATCTGGGATTTTTCTGGGTTTTCTGCGCTGGTGTGATTTGACATGTTGATTATGAGAGGGTCATTGACCTCAACATTTTTGATCACTTTTTGACTCTGTATTTTCTCAACTCTGAAGTATGTTAATTTGCACTTGTTTATACATCTCTGTAAGAGTTCCTCAGGCCCTTGAGGACTGGTATATGTTTTGTCTGGAAAGTAGATTGTAAGCCCCTTGAGAGCAAGGACCTTATGACTCCTAGGAATGCATTCTGGACATTGTCAGTGTTCAATTAATGATTATATTGGAAGCCTGACTAAGGTCACCTGTCACATTGACATCTTCCTTTTCATCTATAAGGTTTCTCACTGTTGACAAAAGCAATTAGGTTGATTCTACAGCATTGAATAATTCTACCCAAAATTATACTTAGTGTTACCCACAGCAACTTGTTCTTTTAGGGTGCTTTCAGATTTATAATTTTAGATCAGTTGTTGCAGTTCCCTTCTTTATAATACCCTGGTTACATATGCATTGGGGAGGACTGCATTTCATTACCCTCAAGTCCTTTTGCATAATAAAAAGTAAGTGATACCATCTAGGCTTTCAAAGCTTATACTTCTCGCCCCCAGCTCCCATTAAGAATTAGGTGATCAACTCCAAGTGGGATTGCTGTCTTAAATTACCAGAAAGAATCCTTAAAAAACTATTCAATGTATATGTTTTTTTCTCCAGACTTTAAAATGAAATAAATGTATATACTGTGTGCTGTGACTGTTGAAGTGAGATTAATATGAATATTTCCAGAAAGTTAGTTCTAAAATAGAAGGGCAACTTTGTTCCTTGGTGAACAAATAGGAGCTAGGGTTATTTTGTTTGTTTGTTTGTTTGTTTTGTAAGTCAGGTTTTAAGAAAAAAGTGATTCACATGTACTCTGATTCACCCTGTTTAGGTAGAAATTTCAATGAAATTGACAGGTTATGTTTCTTTTTCCTTAATTGTTAGCTGAGTAGACTATGAGTCCAACTCGTCCCACCACCCCACTAGCCTCATCTATAGTCTTCTGATATTTTATATCTTTTTTCTACAGTGTACTAAAGGAGGTGTACCAAGCCTTTAATCCCAAAGCAGTGGTCTTACAGCTGGGAGCTGATACAATAGCCGGGGATCCCATGTGCTCCTTTAACATGACTCCAGTGGGAATTGGCAAGTGTCTCAAGTACATCCTTCAGTGGCAACTGGCAACACTCATTTTAGGAGGAGGTGAGTCCAAAGGAAGGTCACTATGAGAATCTTTTGCCTTCCCCCACATTTTGTCTGTTGGCACAGAAAGAAAATTTGGCCTTCTTAAACAGGATAATATCAACCTGCCTATGTCCCCAAAGCTAGAGTCAATGAACTCTGCCACCTCTACAGTTCAGCATAAGGAAATACTCTGACACAGTCCTCCTCACTTGACCTGTGCATTGACTCCTTGTCACAATGGAGTCTGTTTTAATTCCTGAAGTAAATGTCCTTTGGTTAAACCTGCATCAGGAGTTGAGGGTATAGCTTAATGGTAGAGAACTTGCCTAGCATGTGCAAGGACTTGGATCCATCCACACCCAGTACCACAAACACCAAACAAAAGAAGGAGAAGGAGAAGAAGGAAAACGTGCACATTATTATAGATAGTGTTGACTTTGATCCATCTTTTGGAAACATACTGCTGAAATTCTAACTCATATATCAGTATTAAACATGTGTATTAATTATCTAAGCTGTATTCAAGAATGACTCTTTCCCCCAAAAAAAAATATAGTTTGGGGATTGGGGATGTGGCTCGGTGGCAGAGTGCTTGCCCAGCATGTGTGAAGTCCTGAGTTCAATCCCCAGTACTGGAAAAAAAAAACAAGATTTTGTTATAATAAAGCAAAATTGAGACATCCAGAATCTCTTAGGCATTCTTGTCTTTCACATGTACTGATATTTATATTACTTAACCATAAGTAATATACATATCAATAGAAGCATTTATACATTTGAGAAAGGAAGCTTTTGCACCTTTGAGGATGCCTTGCTTAGGATCTTCCATCTACCTACCTGGCACAATCTGTATTTCACTGGATAAATAGAGTGATGTGCTAAAATAAATAGTCATGCAGATTGAGCTTAAAATATATATAATGGAGGAGCTAATACTTGTTTTTTTTGGCGGGGGGAGGTCAGCCTTTTATCAAAAAAATTAGGGGAAATCCTGAGGCCTTATGTATATGAGTAAGCATTCAACACAAATATACAAACTGGGTCCTTTGGCAGCCTGAAACCTGAGAGGGATCAAAATTAAAGATGCTTACAAGAGACACCCTCTTATGAAAAGCTGGCAAGAAATATATTAACTTCAACTCAAGAAAAAGATAAAATTGATAAGCCCTGCATGATATATTACTTTCCTTGACGGCACTAAGAATGGTGATTATGATACAGGTACAACAAGGGAGAATAAAAGACCTTTCTACAACATACATCTGTGAGGAATTTTTGTCTGAGGCTACAGCCTTCACTATTAGCATTCTCTAAAGCCCTTTTGCTTTTTCAGCCCACAGTTTGGGCTTTTGAATATGTAAGTATAATTTTTCTTATGTAATATGTGTTTTCCTGAGAATGCCTGTGCATAAATGGAATCTTTGCAAATTACATCATACTATATGTATATCAGAGACATCTTACTACTTAAGCAAAGCTTGTAGTGACTCTTTTTTAAAATTAAATAACCACACCAAATAAATATTTTATAAATTTGATTTTTTTCTATGTCAATGCTTTTTTAAAGTAATACCCATAATATTGAACTGAAACTCTCGGCTTTTTTTTTTTTTAAGTACCTAGGGTACTTTTTTAAGAACCTAGGGATGCTTTACCATTGAACTATATCCAAGCTCATTTTATTTTTTATTTTGAGACAGGATCTCTCTAAGTTGCTGAGGTTGGCCTTGAACTTGCAATCTTCCTGCCTCAACATCCCAAGTAGTTGAGATTATCAGCATGCACCACCACACCTGGCTTCAGTTATTATTAGCACATAGACAATTCGTAGAAAGAGCCACATCCTCAAACTTCAGTGGACCCTGTTGAGGCCCAAATGACACACTCCAGAAGACCAAACATCCCAGCCCTTTCAAATGGTAGAAAGGCTTAAGAAAAGGGTGACCATATGTCCCAGTTTATACATATTATTTCAGTATAATGATTTAATAGTGTCCTCTTTTGCTCTTAAAAGTATATCATTTTGGACGATAATTTATGTGGTCACCCTACCTAAAATAGACCAGATTCTATTTCCTTTAGGCTATATTGGGGTTAGGCAATCATTCCATTTTACCCTTATGCTCTTGGAATTTAGCTAAAGGCCAATGTTCTAATGCTTGCATGGCAGAGCACATCTATTCAGCACAAAAATATGCTGATTATTAGCCAGTGTAATATGGCTGCTGGGTGACTATGACAGGACCTGACGAGATGGGTCAGAGCGTCAATCAACAGTCCCTTCCTCATCTCACTCTCTTTGATCTCTGCCACCAGGCTTGTGTTTTGTGGTGAAAAGGAATGCTGATATTAAAAGAAGGAAGTCTGTTTCTATCAGCACTTTCCTTTTCTCTTTCCTGGATGGTTTTAGGGTGAGATCTGCCAATAGCTTTAAAATACACATCACATCCAACAGTTATTTTATAGAATTGTTGCAAAATCCATCACAGAAACCTTCTCATTGTGTAGGTCACCTCTAGGGATCTCAGTCTTGCCAATGTCTCTTGATGGAGTGGAGGAACTTGGATTCTTCAGGTTCTCATTTGTTGGGAGATAAGAGTGTCTTTAATCTTTCTTGTTCTTGGAATTCCCAGTTCTACACTGTGCATGATCTGACTGGTCCCCCAAAGTCTGCCCACTAGGTGGTTTACAGTTATCGTATAAAAATGTTTAGGTGAAATTCTGCAAGTTGGAGTTGTCTTTTGAGCCCCTTTATTAAAACATTTTTCTCTCCTTCCTTACCCTCTTCCCTCTCCTGCTGTTTTGTGACTATTCTTTCCTACCTTCACAATTCTTGATGGAGACAGGAGGCTACAACCTTGCCAACACGGCTCGTTGCTGGACATACTTGACCGGGGTCATCCTAGGGAAAACACTATCCTCTGAGATCCCAGATCATGAGGTAAGTAAGGCTCTGACAAGTCCTCTCTTCTTTAAGGGGAAGAGCTGAGTCATTCCACCTAATCAAAATCACGTCCTCACCACTCAATACCGTTTTGTTGAGAGACACTTCAATAACAATAACACACTGTCTTGGCAGAATAGTGGACTCTTGTTCCAAAATATCCAAGACCTTCTGCCTTTTTTTTACAAAAGATCTCAAAGGCCAACCAACTTTAATTTCTCAATTAATTACAGAGACTGTGGGAAGGGGTCACCTGTTCGCACAAAGAACTCTTTGGAAGATGTGCATATTTTCATCCCCTAGCCTCAAAAAGGAAGGGACAAGTCTTTAAATGTGAGAGCTAGGTTTTCATTTATTTTTTAGAAGTGCCATAGGTGGTATGTAGCATATGTTCCTTGGTGGTAATTCTGGTCTCTCAATTAATGTAAAATTCAAGAAACACATAATCGCTAACAAAATCAGGTCTGTTGTTTCCAGCTACTAGTGGCATACAGAGATTGGGGCAGGATCATACAAAATGTGAAATGGGCCATTTGAGTCCTTTCTATTTCCTTTAGTCATATGAAATGGACTTCACAAAGCAAAGGTGTCTGTTATAATTTTCCCAAAACAAGGTAATGGAAAGCTGTCTGGAACCTGTGCATGTATTGATAATCCAAAGGTGAACCTCTTCTATTCCCACTGCACCCCACCCCTGGCAGGAAGCATGTTATCACAGATCAGGATGTAGCTACAGACCTTAGACTATGTGACTTTAAATACCAAACTAACACATGCAGCCCCACCTTCTCAAGCTATTTCCCAAGGATGAGGGATGGTGCTTTGGTTATAATGTTAGGATTTCTGCCAGATGCAACAGCTGTATACTCAGGAGCATTACGTTTTTTTAAAGTTACTATTATTTTTTAAAAAAAAATTAGAAACAACTTAAACTAATTTCCTTCCAATTTTCTTATAACCATAGGTGAGGTATAAATATGTATCTCAGAAAACCTATTCAATATGTCTAGAATACAAATAGGAGGCATGCTATAATTTGAGACAATTTGCTGGTGTCAGGGTTAATAGAAGTCTCTTTTCTTGACTTGACTTACCTTTATTCAGTATTTGGAAGCTTAATGAAATATAAAGGTAAGTGCTGTGAACAAATGTAATTGCTGTTATTGCTATGGGAATATCTCAGATTGCATTGTAATTTAAAGCACTGGGACTTTAAAAACTGATCAAGTTATGTCAGAAAGTAGTTTTAAGCTGTATAAGTCTGAATTGAGAGTGAGTGTTCTGTTCCTAGGAAGCAAAAGTAAATCTAAAGATTCATCTGTTAAAAGATTGATAAAATTTTAATAAACACAAATATTACCTCTGGTACTTGGAGAAGCTTTGTGCTTGAACAGATATGGGTTTTGCCTTACAGATAGAGATGTTCTGTCTTTATATGGAATTATTCTGCAAGATTAAATGAGATGTAATGTGTGTCAAGTGCCTGAGACACAGTTACTGGCACCTAATAGACACTTTGAAAATACACTTTGAAAAAGTTATCTCCTTCCCTTTTGCATGATCCACGCTTCTTACACTCAGACGTTTATGACTATGTCATTCACAAATTTGTCCAAACCCTTTGTGAATCCCTTCTGTCATATCCTTCTGGCATAAGAGATGTGAGTCATCCAAGAAGGAACAAAGAAGAAAATTGAAATGACAGTCTTCCAGGTACAATAAGATAACATTTTAATGAAAATTGCCAAAAATAGACTACACAGTATGAAGGCATATATAAGTTTTGTGTCACAATACACAGTTGCACACAAATATCCTTGTGGCCCTCTGAAATAAGATCAACAAATGGTAGATCAAAAAATATTTGCTGTGCAACCATTGTGTGCCAGGAACTATGCTAGGTGACTTGGAAGATGCAAAGACAGTAAGATCTTGTCCCCCTGCCTCAAGCAGCTAGGGAGGGAAACTGGTACAAGTGTAGGGAGACAGGCCAATGTACCGATAATTGTAACACCAAGCACAATAAAAACCATAAGACAGTAGGAATAGTAACTGTAGAGATGTGCATCAAACATAAAGGAAGTTCAAAGGAGTATACCAAATACCCTGCCTTCTAGGAGCTGAAAATGTACTTGAGAAATCTAGTAAGTGACAAGGTCAAGATATTGCAGCAGTCAGCTGTAGCCTGGCTGACCTCCTCACTCACTGTCTTTGCTCTCAGTCTTGGGCTTTTGTCTTCCATCTCCTAGGATAACAATCCTCGTCCTCCAAATACCCTTTCCCCATTTCTCTGTTTTTCTAGCTCCGGCTTCAAGCCCTGTGCCCTTCAAAAACCCTTACCTAAGTCTGCCAAACTCCTTTCTTTGAGTTCTTTACTTACATTCAGTTATTCCTTCATTCATTTAACAAATGTTCATTGGGCCCCCATTACTTGCCAGCTGTTATTCAGATCTGGATTCAGAGATGCAAAGACTAACAAGATAAAGATGCTGGCCAGTCAAGCATCAAATAGGAGCATGAAGAAGAGTGCAAGCCTAGCTGGGAAAGCCTAAGAGGAATGGTGCCTGCCTGTATGATTGGTCCAGGTATCTCTTTATTGGCCCAAATGTGACATGAACCCATAGAAAGGCCAATACCTGTCAAGATAAAAGACTAATAAAGGCAACAGAGCAGTGTGCTCAAATCCAGGTCAGATAAGAAACATAGGGGGAATGTTTCAACAAAACTTTGAACTGAATCTTAAAGACTTATTGGGAGTTTGCTATTGGGGAAAGTATTCTATGTAGATGGAACAGAGGTTAAAAAGGAACATTGAGAAGTTTGTGATGTATAGAACAAAGGGTATATGAGAAAGTAGGAATAATTAAGGCTTGAATGGAAATTGGAGTCAGATTATGAAGAGCCTTGAATGCTGCACTAATGAGCTTATACTTTTTTTCCTATGAAAACAAATGAATTTTGGCTTTTAGAAAGCCAGCTTAGTAAAACGTTAGGAGGCAGACTACACAGTGGAGGGATTGGAAAATGGTGACCTGTTAGGAGGTTCACGTATACTCCTATAACATTTAGAGTCCTTAGACTTGTGTACCCCTTATCCAAAATGCTCAAGACCAAAACATTACAGATTTCAGATTTTTTTTTCAAAGTTTTGGAACAATTGTATATACATAATAATAATTGCATATACTAGGGATATAACAAAATTCTAAACACCAAATTCATTTATACTTCATACATACAATATAAACAGCCTGAAAATAACTTTATAATACACACACACACACATATATATATGTACATATGTGTGTGTGTGTATATATATCACATATGTGTGTATATAAGATATTGGTACTGGAGATTAAAACAGGTTGCTTTACCACTGAGCTACTTCCCCAATCCTTTTTATTTATTTATTTTTATCTTGAGACAGGGTCTCACAAAATTGCTGAGACTAAGACACTGAGACTGGCCTGGCCTTGAACTTGCCATCCTCCTGCCTTAGCCTCCTGAGTCAATGGAATTATAGATGTATGCCACAACACTCAACCAACACAATATTTTGACTAATTTTGTGTATAAACAAATTGAGGGGGGCTGGGGTTGTGGCTCAGCAGTAGAGCGCTTACCTACCATGCATGAGGCCCTGGGTTCAATCCTCAGCACCACATAAAAATAAATAAATAAAATAAAGGTATTGTGTCCAACTACATCTAAAAAATAAATGTTTAAGAAAAAGAAAAAACAAATTGAGCAATGGAATTTTCCCTTGTGGCTTCAGATCAGCACCAAAAATCTATGGATTTTGGAGCATTTCAAAGTTCATATTTTCAGATTAGGGATACTTATGCATTCTTTTAGCCATCTGGGTTTTGGTTGTCTGCATCCCTCTCTGAATTTGGAAGAATAAGCACCCTATTAGTTGGTGTTCATTCATTGAATGGACAATAAGGAAATGGGTATTTGAATAGTATGTGTCAACATTCATAATGAGAAATTTCTGGATTTGTGTGTGTGTGTGTGTGTGTGTGTGCGTGCACATGTGTTTTACTGGGAATTCAACCCAGAGATCCTCTACCCCTGAGCCACATTCCCAGCTCTTTTCATTTTGGGACAGGATCTTGTTACATTGTCCAGACTTGTCTTGAACTCACTGTACTCCTGCCTCAGCCTCCTGAGTCACTGGGATTACAGGCACATGACACCACAACCAGCAAAAATTTCTATTTTTAAGATGGAAGAATTGGAAGCACAAACTAATCTTTCTCTGGGAACACAATTTAACTATAGAAGCAACCTCCTATCCTTCACAAGAAACTTGAGGTATCCGAGTTCTATAAAAGAGGTATATCCATGGGAAAACACCAGATTCCATGCAGGGAATGGAGTTGGAAGGCAATCCCAGCACAAATATTAGAAGTAATTAGGGATGGGACTTCAAGCTTAGCCCTCAAGAGATACAAAACTGGTAATACCATAACATAAATGATCAGAAAGTTAGTCTCAGCCTAGGAGTTGGGAAGCCAAGCTGTCCAGTCAAGCATCAAATAAGAGTGTGAAGAAATGTGCAAGCCTATCTGGGAAAGCCTAAGAAGAATGGAGCCTGCATGTATGATTGGTCCAGGTATCTGTAATGTAGAGAAACATCAAGTGTGACATGAACTCATAAAAAGGCGAGTAACTGTCTAATTAGCACAATCACTTAGACTATTATGTATACAAATATTCTGTAGTCCAATAATACTATTTAGATCCCATAATCTAGGGTAGAATAAGGCAGTGTAGTTTTATATAGACGTTGAACATTTCTAACCTGAAAATCCAAAATACTCTGAAATCTGAAACTTTTTGAGCACCAACATAATTGCTCATCAATCAGGCTGCTTTTGATGAGCTGATTATGTAAACTATACCTCATTAATATATGTAGCCATTTAAATGAATTGAGTCTTATATACAAAGTATATATTATTAACAAAAGCATTGTAGTGCAATCTTCT